CTAAAGCATGACGACAAAAAATTGGGGATGGGAGGGTAGGTATCTACAAAAAAGGTTACTGATGGTGACTTGTATATACTGTTTGTAAACAATTTTAATATCAACTRTGATTCCATCACCAGAGATCACCACCTTTTGTGCTCTGTCTTTTTGGTAGTGCCAGGGATATAACTAACCCAGGCCCTTGCATATGCTAGGCAAGCCCTCTACCACTGAGCTACATCCCCAGACTCCCTTTTCTAAGTCACTAGTCACTAGTCTGTTATTTTGCTAACTTAAGTCAGTTTTTGCTGGTTTGAGATGGGTATGAGATGATAGCAGGCTGGTAACTCCTGGAATCAGGAATCCCCCTGCCTCAGCCTCCTCAYTGCTGGTCCTACAGGTACCCACCCCTCACCCAGCTGTCATAAATGTTGTATGACTACATAATATTCTACTTTGAGGGAAGGGGTTGTGGCTCAATGGTAGAGCACTCGCCTAGCATGGGCGAAGCCCTGGATTTGATCCTCAGCACCACATAAAAATAAATAAAAGTATTGTGTCCAACTACAAAATAAATATAAAAAAAAATTCTACCTTGAGTAGAGATCATCATTCATTTGGTACAGATCTTATTAAGAAACTTGTTATGGTATTCACCATTTTTTAATTTTATAAATATTGCTTAATTCTTAATATGTATATCTTTTTCTGTATTTCTGATTCCCATAGAATAAATTTTTAGAAGTCAAATGAACTATAAAATAGTTTTTGATGTATCTTGCCAAAATGTTTTCCACAGAGGTTAAAAAAAAAAACAGTTTCCTTAATTTCTGGACCACTTTATAGCCAAATTTAAGGGTATGCTAAATTCCCTTCCAATACAGTATTATATTTCCAAATTTTTTGCTAATTGAATWAATCTGCCATAGGAAGACTAATGGACCTCAAAGATGTCCATGGCCTAATCTATGGGACCTGTGACTATGTCACCTTACAAAAGGGACTTTGCAAAAGGGACTTTGCAGGCATGATTACTGCTAAGAACAATGAGATGGAGAGGTAATCCTGGATAACCTAKGGAGGTCCAATTTAATCACAAGAGTTCTTTAAGAGGGGAGCAACTTCTGAGGTTAGCCAGGGCCCAGAGAACAATGGGACCCCTCTYTGGGCCTTGTAACTCTGGTGAGTCACCCRATCTGCCAATCAGGGAGATCGAGAAGACCCTAGAGAACATGAAGCCAATCAGTGCACATTTGGCAAAGAGGAGGGTTATTAGAGAGGAAATGTCCCTGATGCTTCCAAGAGAAGCCACATATGGCCAGCAGGACCCTGACCCATCTTGGCAGATGATACCACTGGTAGAGAAAAGCTAAGGAGCCAAGAGGCTTCACACACATCCCCAAGAGTGATCTCTGGGGAATCTCAGCTGACTCTTAAGAGTAGACAGGAACAAAGTCAGTTTTGACCAACTTGATCTTAAACACATGGTAGGAGAGTATAGCCTAAGCTATACGGTCCTAAAGGGACACTTAAAAAAGGAAAAACAATGTGTGTTTTTTTTAATGTAACTTAAGATATACACTTATGGCAGCTCTACCAAAAGTAGGTAAAGTTGGAGGCTACAAAGGAAGGGCTCTTGGTTCCTAATAATAATGGCACAGAGAACTCTAGAGTTACAAGTTTGTCCTAAGTTGATATGAGCCTGATCTCATGGATCTACACACCTTCCTAACCTCCTACACATTGATAAACTTGATCTGTTTTTCAGATCAAGTTTGATATGATTAWGAGTTATTGTCTTTATGGTTTTCAAAGACTGGCTATAATACTAATTGCTTTTGTGCTGTTTACAAAAAAGTAATGCGTTGCTGTCTTGTTTACTGTTGTCTTGGCATGATCCCTGCTCTATGTCTAGTCCTTGTCCAGTCACCTGCCATCTGCCACTGTGGACCTTTGGACTGTTTTGATGCTGAATATCCTTAACTGTCCACACTCCACCTGATAGAGAACAAGGACTTCACCCTCTTTCAATAGAAAGCATCTTCGAGATGTCGTTGCCCATTTTTTCCATAGAGATGGAATATAGAAATTGACAGTGGGGAAATGTAACAGGGGTCTGCTTTATGCTTTGAATATAGACCTTGCTGCTCTGCCACTGAAATTTATTTTTATTTATTTATTTATTTATTTTTAGAGAGAAAGAGAGAGAATTTTTTTTTTTTTTTTAATATTTGTTCTTCAGTTTTCAGCGGACACAACATCTTTRTTTGTATGTGGTGCTGAGGATAGAACCTGGGCCGCACGCATGCCAGGTGAGCGCGCTACTGCTTGAGCCACATCCCCAGCCCTGCAATTTATTTTTAAAATGGGCATGTTTAGGGGCTGGGATTGTGGGTCAGTGGTAGAGTGTTCGTCTAACATGGGCTGGACCCGAGTTCGATCCTCAGCACCACATAAAAATAAATAAAGGCATTGTGTTGCGTCCATCTACACCAAAAAATACACTTTTTAAAAAATGGGCATGTTTGTCTTCCTTTCTCCCTGCTCCTCCCTAATCTCTCCCTGTCCCTAATCTCAGGGGAAACAGAATTACCTTTCTTCTCCATCCTAGACAGAGTTGTCTCTCCTTGAGCACTCACCCACCACGGGAATGAAGTAATCCAGACTTTGGGGATGGTACCAGAAGAAATGACTATCTCCCAAATTAACAAGTGAATTACAACTCTAACAGAGAACATGTGGGAAAGTAGCCTTTGAATCACCTCTTTAAAAGCCCCCTGTTCCTGCTGATAGGCAGAATCACAGCCTTCGGAACAGAAGTTCCCTGTGTTTCTCCTTTGCTAGCATAACAAAACTTTTTTCCTTTTTCTCAAGAAAGAGAGAGAGAGAGAGAGAGAGAGAGGGGAGCAAATTGCTAAGTATGGTGGTACACACCTGTAATCCCAGTTACCTGAGGCTAGATCAGGAAGACTGCAGGTTTGAGATCAGCCTGGGTAACTGGGTGAGACGCTATCTCAAAATACAATAAAAGGGACTGGGGATGTAACTCAGTGGTAGAGCACATGCTTACCATGTGCTCTGGTTTAATCTTTAGTCACACACACACACACACACACACACACACACACACACACACCCCACAAAGGAAAGAAACAAGAAAAAGGTGGGAGGAGTGGTTTCCACCCTGTAGAGAACAGTGGGATGCCACGTGAGGACCTTGAAGAACAAGGCGGCCAGGAGCCACAGAGTGCAGATAGCTCCTAGAGGCTGGAAAACCTAAGGAAACAGGGCTCCCAGAGCCTCAGAAAAGTGCACAGTCCRGCCTTACACCTTGATTCAATCCAGTTAAGCCCATGCCACATTCTGACCCAAAGAATTGTAAGATAATAAATTTATATTATTTAATCCACCAAGTCTGTGGTAGTTTGTTGAGGCAGCAATAGAAAAATATTAGAGTAACTAAAAAACAAAACAAAAAAATATGACAGATTGGGATCCATAGGAATAAATGATTGTGGCTTCAGAAGCACGTTGGGTAACACTGCTGACACTTCAGCTCAAGTAAGAATAAAGAAGTCAATGCACATAAAACACCAGTCTGAATTGTGCAGCACTATCTCAAGAGGTCCCAAGAACTCATCTTGTTTCACTACCACATAATTAAAAGAATTAGAACTCAACAACATACTGTCTGCTTTTCCCTATGCCCTCTCTTGTACGTGTGTGTGTGTGTGTGTGTGTGTGTGTGTGTGTGTGTGTGTGTTTTGCTGGGGATTGAACCCAGTGGCTCTACCATGGAGCTACATTCCTAGTCCCCGTTTCCTGAAGCACATTCTCCTCTTATTTTATCCAGATGAAGAAAGTGAGAGAAGCTATAAAAAATCCAGGAAAAGAGTGTTCAGAATCTGAGATGAGCAAACCTCCAAGAAGCAGTATTATTGACAAATTAATTCCAAGACTCTTTTGTATTCTTTTGTAATCTCTATGACTAGAAACATGCCATTCTTTATCTGCAAAACTGCCACTAACTTACTTTTCCATAGAACAGGTATTTTTAAATTGTTTTCAAGTACTGTCTGGTGTCAGGAGTTTTAGTTTTTCTTGTGACTCGATCTACAGATTTGAAATATCTACCTGGGCAGGGGTACCAGTTGTAATTATAATAGTAATTTTGATACAAAGACAATTGACCTTTAAGAAAATCAAACTTACAATATAAAATATGCCACAATGTTTAGCTTATAGACCTAACAGGGCAGAATCTTAGATGACAGTTTTACACATTGATTATTATTTACTAAAAAAGGTATTTTTCAAAGGAAAAAAATCTCAAACTTTGCCAATAGTCTTTGGTTATTGTTTTTTTTTATTGGTGCATTATAATTATACATAATAGTTGAATTCATTTTACACATTCATACATTCACAAAATATAACAATATAATTATATTTGTTCCATGGTACYTCCTTTTCCCTCCCCCTGGTTAACTAAAACGACAATTTCATTTACAGCTGAATAAAACTCCGTTGTGTGTATACAACACGTTTTCTTTATCGACTCATCCATTAATAGATACCTAGGCTGATTCAATAATTTAAATTATGCCAACATTTTTTTGGATCCATTTTTCTTTCCTCCTCTGAACTAACTAACCTCATAATTCAATCAATGAAGATTAAAGGAAACAATGGGCCAAGTTTGTTAAGGCTAAATTACCAAATTTTCAAGATTATTTTTGCTGTTTTTATGTTATTGGAGCAACTGGACTAGGCTAATAAATATTGTCTAATAAATATTGTCTGATACTACTGGATTCCACTTAATTATAACTGTTTACAAAAAAACGTGTGTTGATATTCACCCTTATCTTCTTTTTAAATCTTAACTTGCTTAGAAACTTAAAACCAAAGTAAACTTGTGTAAATCTCAAACTCCCAAATTAATAGTCATATTTCAGTCTTTGAAAGGACAGACAATTTCAGAATTCAAAGAACAAAGATGAAGTAAAATTATTTACCTCCACCAGTATACCAACATAAGGGATAGACGTTTCTTCATATTTCACAAAGAATAACTCAGGATTAGTCTTCCAGACTCCAAGCCACTTGTCTTTTATTTTTAACTTTTCTGATAAGTATTTACTCATAGCCTCATCAGCATCTTCTGCCTAAGAAAAGAAAAAAAATATATGAAATTACAAGTATAAAACAAATATTTTGACTCCTACTTAAAAATGGGGAATCAATATCCTCTTAAATAGTGATAAATGTAAAAAATTTATAGATTTTTTTTATTGAAACTATATTTAATGGAAAGTATCATAAACCTTAAAAAATTGAAATAAATTTAAGAGATCTAATCACTGGGCACAGCAATTCAGAGACGGGCTATCTACATTTTTATTTTGAGTCCTCAAGTCATTTGTTTTATAATCCACTGAGTAGAAGGAATGCAATTACACATATTAAAACATAGCAATTATATTTTAAAACAGAGAAATTATTTATGACCTAAATATTTAAGTCATATTCAGAGCTGGGCAAGGTGGCACACACCTGTAAACCCAACCACCAAGGAGGCTGAGGCAGGAGGATTTCTAGTTAAAGGCCAGCATCAGCAACTTATCAAGGCCCTGTCTCTAAATAAAAAATAAAAAGGACTGAAGATGTAGTTCAGTATTAAAGCACCTCTGGGTTCAATGCCCAATCCTTCTGCCCCTTCCAAATAAAGAAAACATATTTAATTCATAAAAATTTAAAATAGCACACCATTTGATAAAATAAATGAGCATCAGGCATGCAATAAATGCCCTTTTGATTTTTTTAACTGAAATTCAGCTACTTCAAGTGTGATAATCTAAGCTAGTATAAAACTCAGTCCATAGACCCTGTCTGATTAATGACACAAAAATTTATGTAAATATCTTTCTATTGCCTTTAACAGACTTGACCTTTTCCAACCCTCAAGTCAATATCAGATRTAAGTTGGTTATTTGCAGTCCTAGTTTTACCATAATGGTGCCTTTAAAAATAAAAATTTCTTCTGATTATAAAATATGGTAAAGTTTCTGGAAAATACACACACAAAAAAATCATTCCTAATTTTGGCAGTCAAAGATAACTGGTATGGGTATTTTGGTGTATTTTTTTTTTCAATATTTTTAAGTAGTTTTTAAATTGTAGGTGGGCATAATACCTTTATTTTTATTTATTTTACTTT